AGCCGCAGTTGCCTTTTTGAAGGAAAGGTTTCTTCTAACTCCACCTACACAAGCGGGTTATACCATGCTTCCGCCCCCCATCTTCTTCCTCCCCTTCCCTTTTTCCACATCCTTAATCAATTTCCAAGAAAGATGTAGCTCCCTTCCCTTCAATGGATTGCCACGAAGAACAGAGGAGATTGTCTCGCCGCGAATAAACGCATGTTCAAAATATACCCGTTTTCCACACAAGCAAATATCATCTCTTGTTCTTCTAGATCAAGTTTAAATCCAGGTTTTAGAAACACATACCATATTCTCTCCCTTTTCGAGTTCATCAAACTAGGACCATAAGAGTCTTCATAGAGAATATAAACACAAGCAAATACTAGCACTTTACTGTCAAATGAACATATAACCATTTTGCAACAAGAAATGATCTAAAATAATCACAATTTTTTTATCAGCAAAAAGTTATATTATTAATCAATTATGGGTGGATTAGTACAATTTGAATACAACAATGTAATCCCCAAATGCACATAAGTAGATTACACAGAAGCACAGCAAAATTGCTGCCTTGCAGCCCCTTGTTTTGCTAGGGCATCAGCTAGCCCATTTGCAGTCCTTCTGACCCATTTCTAAAATAATGATAATTTGACACCCAAAAAAAAAAACAAAATTAAAAGTGGAACAAAGCTCCCAACCAACTGTTGCATTCAAATGTCTAATTATCAGTGATTTTGGAACCACCTATCCAAAAAAAAAAAAATGTAGCTCCAGATGAGAATCCTTTAACTCCTACCAACCTTGGAATTCCCACTCAAACTAATAGTATAAGCATGTTATAAAAAAAATAATGCCAAAAATAACATGCTTTCATTTCATACAGAGAACATTTGCAAGTCCTATGTACAAAAAAAATGCCTTGAAAGAATCACTCTTTCTTGTGTTTCTCATAATAAGGCATATTTTTGCAGTCTCCTATCATTCTCACACATAAATTCGTTACAAAGATTAAGGGTCATTTCATCTTCATTAATTCTCATTCCAACTCAGCATACCCAGCCATCTCTGACATCTCTTCCACTACTGCAATAGCCCATTGGCCCATGTGCCTTGCATTGCAAAGATTTGGAAGCTGGGAAAGCATAGAGGTCCTCCCAATGCCTTGCAAAATGCAGCACTATTTAGTCAAATTAAGTTCACAGGCCTGCTTGTGAAGGAGTAGATCTTCTTTTTCCTGTACTTCTCCCATATAGTTTATGCAATTGGTTCCCATTCATCAGATAAAGAGTTGAGGATAATTAACACCAGCTTTGTTTTTGATGAATAATAATAAGTTTATTGATTCAGAAGCAACTTTAGAGTGAGTTCATACATCATCCCA